ACCGAACATACATCTAGGCTGTGCGTCAAACTTTACTTGCTCAAAAAGGGAAAACAGTGAAATTGGAATGCCTTATCTACCTGGTGCATACATAACTGGACATTGGCTCTAGAGAGTGCCCAAGGTAACTATTTAAGAAGTACTCGACGTGGTAGTTTCAGGTGGGTATACGCACTCGGCTATGGGCCACACACCGCATACAGGTCCCACAGTGGCTCTGCAACAAAACGTCTAACGCCGTTGTTTCTGGAGTGTCTGCTGACCTGCCGCTGGGTCTACGAGCGTGCCGGGATGGCTCACAAGGTCTTTGCAAAAATCGGGCGGCACGTCACACCAGATAGTAGGCAACGGGGCTCTGTCGAGCACAGCGGGGGATGAACATTTTGTCCCCTTAGATGTAGGTCCCTGCAGGTGGTTTAGAGATACCTTGGGAGCCTAGTGACTTCCTGTCGGAAGCATGGTACTCTGCATTGCCTTGAGGAAGCACGCCCTGTAAAGGACAGTAACCTACCATAAACTGCTCTTAGTAATCAATGGGGTTGCAGCAAGTACGCGATTGCCGGACAGTTCACTAATGGGCGTACAGTCCAATGTGGTGCCTACAGCGTTTCTGCCAGCCTTACTGAACCGCCATCAACTACAGGGTATTCTGTTTACAGGAGCCAAAATTGATGTGACAGATGCATGATCTTGCTGTCCACCTGTTTCGCATGTTGGGGCGTTTCTAACCGCAGGCAAAAGCTGTTTCCACAATGCCTGTCGAAGAGTTGCAAGTATTGCGTAGACGGTGAGTTTCGCGAGACCCGGAATATGCCAAACGCTCGTGGGTAAGCGTGCTGTATGTCTAGATCACGTCCACGAGGTTTGTCCACGCTCAACTATGTTGGCGAAGAGTCTTTTTTCCTTGTAGGCAAATAGCTTGTATACAGCTAGGCCTGATCTGCAAACATCCAGCTACCCGTCTTTCACGTGGAAGACGGCTAGTCGCTCTGTGATGTGTGGAAGAATAAAGGAGTGTTTCCTTGTTCGGTGGTTAACTGCGGCACAGGGAGTATGGGATTTGAATAAGCTCACACTTATAAAGTCATATTACAGCACAGAACACAGACACACCAAATGTAAATGCTAAATGCTCTAGAGGTTGTTTGCAGCCGGGAACATGTACACACATGTGTGACATATTTTCTCAAGGGTCTTTGATTAGACGGTGCGATGCAGATTTTATGGCGAACTTTCGTTCCATACAGACCGGTAGATTAGGTCAGGGCAGGGCATTGGTAGGGTACAACACGCAACCAAGTCGCAACTTGTCAATAAAGCAATATTTGTCCGTTTTTGGTTGACCAGTTTGTGAGTGGAGAGCGCATACGTTTATACGCGTTAATCGAGGTAAACATTATTTATGAAGTTTTATGCCGATTGCCAATAGTATTCCACATTAAAACATTTTGCGAGGTCTTAGATTCTTCATGATTCTTCGTGTTGTTTGAGGTTGGCACCGTATCGTCAACACCTGACACTGTAAAGGTTCCATAGACTCTGAAACAACTGAATGTTTTGCTTGCAATGCAGTTTGAAAATTTGAATAACCCTTGCTCCAGATTATAGGGTATATCCACCTCGAATTCGTGTAGCATATACCAAAGTATATGTGTCCCGTTGCGCATGGCCTCTGCAATGCAGAAGGTACGTAGAAATTTTCAGTTGTGTTTCCTAACAAGCGTTCTCCTTTGAGACAGCTCGCTAGGTTAGATAGCAGCCAACCGTTGCAGGGAACAAAAGGCGTATGACAGATGCGCATAGTGATGCATACAGTATGCTTGTGTATACTGATGCACACAATATGCTTGGATTTGCGCTGCTAATAGCAACTAGACTCGGTAGCGTGTGATGTATGGGCGGTTTGTTTTCTGACAGGGTTGCGCTGGCCCGACTGCAAACCGAAGCCCTGCTGGCGCTAGAATTACGACTTGGAGAGTGTTGGTCACCGTTATTCCATGGAGTCTGTCAACTGATATGCATGTGGTTTTACCGCTACAGCCAGTACGTGCCAGCATAGCAATGCCCTTGCTTATATCTTTGCTGCCCCGGCTATACACACGCCTTCCTGAACATCCTAAATTGCAGTGGACAGGTGATGAATTGATGATCCGGTGCTCACGCTGTTGACCTATGTAATTACTAACAAGCAAAGGTAGTGCAGATATTAGGCGACGGGGGGCTGACTAGCTTTGCAGCAGGTGAACGTTCAGAATCCACTAAGAAATAACGCCTTGTGCATTTAGTTACCTAGAGGCGCCTGCGCCTGGTTAAGACATACCTTGGCAACCTAGTTACCCCATGGCGCCAGCATGGTATTCTAGGGTTCCTTCACCGGCCTGTGAGTTGTTTCTGAGGTCGCAAGCCCTCGAAAGGGCCGTAGCCGACACCGCAAATCAGACGGTATGCCAGCCGGACATTGCTGAAGTTAAACTCACAGATTGTGAACACAGCCTTTCTGCCATTCCTACTGAATCACCATCTACTACTGGGTATTCTAGAGCTTTACAGGAGCCAAAATGGATGCGACAGATACATGACCTTGCGGTCTAACGGTTTCGCGTGTTGGGGCTTTTCTACCCGCTACAGTGGAAATACAGACGTCTTCCTGAATAGCCTAAATTCCAGTGGCTAAACTGGAAAGTTAGTTTGCCTATAAGGGCAACAGTACGTTTACTGTTCTTTAATAAACTCTACTCTAGATTCGAAAGGGGGAGACACAAGTCGTCAAGTCTAGCATCCATATTGAATGTGGCTGTAATGGCTTCAGCGGTGGCTCCGCTTTGGCGTCCTCCCCATTGACACAGTAAGTAAGTATTGAGAGGGAATCTGGCAGGCCACGTTGCAGACGCTGCATTTGTGTAATGCATGCCATCCTCCATTGTTGCAATCGTTCTAATGACTGGAACCGCTCAACCCAAAAACACTGATTGACGCTTATTTTGTGTGTCTAAAACTTACTAGCTTATATTCTTTTTAGAAGTGCTAGTCAGCTTACTAAATTTTTCCTATCGATGCATTTTCGCTGGAACGTCTACTTTTATTCAGGGATTTGCTGGCTCTCAGTTGAGCTTCCGAGCAGCATAAGCAAGCTCAGAACGACTTGTAGTCTATGGCTAATACGCCTGTTTCGGAATGGCTGCTAACCACTTTGTATGCATCCACACACACCAAGTCGGGTCTAGTTGGGTTTAGGTGGAGTGTGCAGTTGGACGTCTAAACCCTCAGGAGCTGCTAGGCTCAGCGCAAATGAACCTTGTGGTCTAATCCCTAAACCCGCAACTCTACGAGCGGTTCGAGCTTTTGAACCCCGTAATTCGAAACGGTTTACTGATATGCCCTCCATGAGCGGCCCCCAAATCGAAGAACCTAAACCCGAAGTATTAAACCCTAAACCCTGAATATTAGGCGATAAGCTCCTCCTGGATATACCAATCGTCCGCCTCGTTTATAACAGGCCTGCGCTCTCACACATCTGGGCTCGAGGCAAATAGCTACTGTCATTCCGAAAAGCCGAAATCACGCACAAAGAATATCTGCATCATGGTCTGCTCCCCCACGGGAATCGCACGATGGAGCTAAGTCGTCGGCGCTGAAGGCAAGCAGGAGGGCTAGCAGAGGCAGCGGGGGAAGACCAAACCGCATTGTGCCAGAAGCGCAGGAATGGCACGAACGGCAACGGATGGAGGCTACATAACAGTAACAATTACTACACGTAGCAGCAAAGGCCCAGAATTAGCGTGAAGCAGACACACTTGAAGCTACTAGGTATGACTAGGTAGGTAAGACTACGTATGACATGTGTCGTGCCTTGGAGTGTCCGTTATTCGTGGAGGTTGAATTTTGCCCTGCTTTCGTTTCAGTTGTCTCCGCCGCTTAAGCTGAGATAAAAGCGTGCTATGACACTGGTTTGCCGATAATGCATTTGATGCCTTTCCTCCCAGCAATGCTTGTTGCTGGATCATGAATTGGTGCGTTTTGTCTCATTTGGATACAATCCAGAAAAGAAGCAAGACATGATTAGACAAGCCCCACTAGAACAGCTACCGGCAGACACAGGGGCGAAGACAAGAACGATAAGTATAGAGAAGTTTTGATCTAAGACAGAAGAACGAAGGGCAGACAAGTCGGGAACATTGAAGCAGACAACAAGGAAACAACAACTATGATAAGGACACAGGGGACATTGGCGCCTTTCCCCACCATAGTTGACAGAAAGTAAACAAGCAAACGTGCGCCAACAAGCAAACATGCGCCATCTGCAATCACAAACATGCCTTCGTCAAACAGCCTCTCTCACATCCAGGCGCTTGGGCTGCTCCGCGAAATATGCCTGGGGATTGCGAAGGGAAGTCAGCTGTTTTTAACGATGCCAGGTGCGAAGTATTGACTTCATTGCAGCTCACGCTAGTCGTACATACTGAGTCCAGGTTACACTTTATTGTTGCTATTGTGCGAAGGCTGTGTAATGATACTCAAAAGGCGGACCTCTACAGGTCTACGTGGTTATACGCAGGCAGAGAACGAGTATTCTCAGTGCTAACAAATGCCACATTAGACAAGAGATAAGACTTCTATGCCAAGATTGCTCCACTGCTACCAAGCTCTGGAACTCGCAATGAGACTGGCACTGAAGCCATGGAGTTGACCTTCAACGGATCAACGGCGGGGGATAACAAATGGTCCCGCAAATAATCATTCGACCAGTAGGGCAACAGAAAAATCAGACTGTTTTTTTGAAGAGTATTTTCGGTGTTAGAGGCTGAGTGTAGAGTGTAGATGTCGACTGTGCAGAATGACTGTTACGGTGCTGTCCACTACACTTTCTCTATGGCGCCACCATCTCATTAGTCCCTAGGTTCAGACATCTGTAGCTTCATGGAAGGGCATGGGAAACCGTGAAGTGATAACAACCGTGAGAGCGATTAGTTTGGTTGAATACGAAATATTTGTTGTGGCGGATGAGCTCGCCCCATTTCGGTGTCCCGCCAGTTGCAGTCCGTGAGGAGTCGGCCGGCATGGAACCTGTAGGCAAAATCGAGCGTCAAAATTAGGCATCGTGGGATATATTTACGAGGGGCAAAGCGAAGTGAGGCCTTTATCTATGCGAGGAACTCTCAGTGATTCACTTGCTCTCGCTGGGGCCCCGCACCCCACAGCCCGTCCTTCCGTGGTCCTTTGGGCCTGACGGTATGCCAGCAACTACCGACTTGCCACCTTGTCGTTGCTTTTAAGTGAAGTTCCTGATTTAGCATTAAACTTCGACTGATTTGACATTTTGGGGGCCTTGGAGCCCTCAGGACTCTGGCTTCCCCTGCCGCTGTTGACTGGCGGGAGCTCGGTTCCTTCTCTTGAACATTTCGCTTCCAAATGAGGGGTACGTAGTAAATCGAGGGATTATATACCTTCCTGATCCTTTTCCTACGCACACGTTGTGCCCTGCACGATTGTAAGGTCATATAGTGACGATTTTACCTAATGAGCAGCGACAGATGCACTGGTTGTTGTTCTATTTGAAGCTGTTGAAGGCCGAGCAGGCGTATCTTTGGTTGACAGGCGGCATTCCAGCACATGGAGGTTTCAATTTTCGGGCTGTTTGTTCACCACTGCTCTCGGTTTGGCTCGTACTTTTTGCCATGTTTGTGGTTTAGGAGGAGGAGGGTTTCGTGGAGGCGGTAGAGGCGGCCGAGGCGGTGGCGGACGCGGCGGCGGTGGTGGACGCGGAAGAGGAGGTGGTAAGCTAACAGCTTCAGCCGATATTCATGCCTTTCATCTGCGTTAGAGGTGCAGTTGGAAAGAACGGATGTTGTGCTGATTACCCCTAGACCTGTGATTGTTCTGCTTCTGATCTTACTGTTCAGGTGCGGGGGGATTCAAGAGTTCCCGAGGAGGAGGCCGGGGTGGGGGTCGCGGAGGGAGTCGTGGAGGTGGTCGTGGAGGGAGTGGAGGAGCATCTAAGGTGGTGGTTGTACCGCATCGGTTTGAAGGAGTTTTTATGTCCAAAGGGAAGGCAGATTCGTTAGTAACGCGTAATATGGTTCCTGGGGAGTCGGTCTACGGCGAGAAGAGAATGGAAGTCACTCAGGAAAACGGGGAGAAGATTGAATATAGGATTTGGAATCCATTTCGCTCAAAGTTGGGGGCGACGTTGGTCGGCGGGGTGGCGAACATGCCGATAAAGCCGGGATCTAAGGTGCTTTATCTGGGAGCAGCAAACGGCACAACTGTTTCCCACGTCTCCGATATCGTGGGCCCTGAAGGAGCGGTGTACGCCGTGGAGTTCTCGCACCGTTCTGGTCGCGACTTGACAAATATGGCCAAGAAGCGACCGAACATCGTCCCTATTGTTGAAGACGCGCGTCAGCCCCTCAAGTACCGCATGCTGGTAGACATGGTTGACGTTATATTTGCCGATGTGGCGCAGCCGGATCAATCACGAATCGTTGCCTTGAATGCACACTACTTCCTCAAACCCGGAGGATGGTTCATCATTTCCATCAAAGCCAACTGCGTCGACTCCACCGCCAAACCCGAAGCGGTTTTCGCTGCGGAAGTGGATAAACTGCGGAAGGAAAAGTGCAAACCCAAAGAACAGCTCACCCTTGAACCATACCACAGAGACCACGCCGTCGTCATTGGCCAGTATCGCGTTTCAAAGAAGAAATAAGATGTGACAGTGATTCCAAATGCCATATATCAGGGGGACGCACATATAATTATTCCGTGTTTAAATCAAAAGCACCGCTCTGCAATTCAGTCACAAGTTCAATCGCTCATGACGACCTATTTATTTACTCTGCACATACATATTTGGCATTTCCTACTGCCACCAAGGATTTTTGGGCTCATTGCTGCATTTAGGTCTGACTGTACGATCGTCTTTTCAGCTTGCATTGTAACGTTAAATGTGAAGTTTGCACTTATTCATTGGAGCACATTTGGCTTGAGATGTTCCACAACACAGAAAGCATAGAACAGTCCGTAGGCTGTTCAGCCGCCACAACAACTCGACAGACGTAGGCAATATCTTTGAAGTAGGCAGGAGGGGCGGCTTTAGACTCTTGTTATCCTTGTGGAGCTAGTGGAGTTGAATTTGAATTTGAACATAGGTTAAGCTGCAGCAAACCTGCGTTGGAGTGACCCAGGTACGAATTGCCCTCAACGCGCACAAACACACGTGCTCTAACTCTGCAGAGCATGTTAAAGCGGCCGTTAGTAGGCGTTGATGGAAGCTAACATGGAGGTCTCACAGCTGACTCATACACGCGAAAGCACGCTGTGCATAAACGCCACATGCTCTCTGCAATAAAATGATTTGAATACTCATAACAGTCTACTCGTCGCGCTTCAACGTCTTGAAGGATGCACACTAAGGCTGCCTTATGAATGGATTTCCAATATTACAGAGAGCTTTGCACACTTCGCCGTGGCAGTACACGGTTTGCCATTAGCTGCTATGTAACCAGTGGATCGGTGGGCTATTAACATCAGCAAAAGCCAGATGTTTTGCTGCTCCCTAAGCTAATATACTACCACATGCATGACCCATCATCACGCGTCACGGATAAAATGCTACTTCAGTGGCAGATGAAGGCCATTTGCAATTTGGTCAACCACCCATTTGGTTCCTACCAGATTCTGACGGTGTAACCGAGATTATACCTGCAGTTATTTCAAACATTCTGGTGAATTCTTAAGTTTATGTATTTACCTTAATAGTGCCGAATTCTTTTAGTTAAAATCCATTCTTCCTTTCAGCGTGCGTGTCACTGATGTGAGTGCACGAACATCCAATTTGGATACAACGTACCCCATCCTTTCGCTGGTGCAAAGGCATCCGAGAGTCGCAGGGTGTTAGAGCAAGTCCAACTTTACAAGCCTATTGTGGTACACGAGGGACCTGGTTTAACTTGTTGACCCTGCCTGCTACCGCTTTTTAATGCAGTGATGTCGCGTCAGCTGTTGCCGTCGAGGACAAACTCCCAGCAGGACCGCCAGTAGCGCAGCATTCAAAGGAGGTGCGGCAGTGTACTCTCGGCCACAACTGCAGCTAGAAACGAATCTTCTCAGAACATATGGGTTGTTGATGCATAGAGTTCAGTGTTCCGCAACATGAGGTGAGTTCAGCTTATACGGCCCCACATTGCCATCGGATGACTACTAGTGTTTGGGTGGCTAAAAGCAGACGCCCACCACTCAGGAAGGCTACGTTTGGCTATTGTTTAATAATTTATATAAAACAGAACTTCAAAATAAAGATACCTACAATGCCAATTCTTAAATGCTGGGTAGAACTTATTTGCACCCTCCCAATATCACCAGCAGGCGCCATCCGGGATGCCAGCCACCAGCAACACCAGGCTTACCATTAAGGGCAGTTGAAATAATAAGAAATACACATGATCAATGTGTAGCATTTATACCATAAATATATACAGATACTTCGCCGTATTGTTCATGGAAAGTCGCTGCTGCCGAGGTGCACGGCAATTGGTGCACCAATATAGCGATATGCTGGATGAAGTATATTTAAATATTTAGTCCACACCTAGTGTTTTGATGTACCACGAGAATTATTCCTAATAATGTTCAACTTTTTTGATGAAAGGGCCATCTGAGTTTAACTGGAAGCTCAATTCGACAGGCTCGCCATCTCGTATTCTCGTTGCTGTGCACGCGCCCGAGCTGCGCTGACTAGTGCCCGAGCAGGCTGTCCACCTGAGGCGAATACTGAATTCATTGCCCATCACCACGCCTACTAAGTTTGCAATCTTTGCCCGAATATTTGGCAATTTCAACGTTTGAGTTTGCATTTTCCGTGACACAAAGGACTCTATTGTTCTTCCCTTCAAAAATGTGCCCCTCTAAGCTGCTCGCCCTTTTTTCTGCACTCCCCATTACAATGGTAATCGCCGGCCCAGATGGACCGCAGGACGAATTGATTTCCCAGAAAAACAATTTACCTACTGAACAACCTGTTCGTTCCATCGCCACCTTCATGCGAAATATACGGCGCGAAAATCCGTGTTTCACTACAATCTCCACCTTGGCAATAGCTTTTGTCATGGGATTCCTCATCATGCGCTGTTTCATTGCCATATCATCCAGTAGAAAGAATGAAGGTTTACTGGTGTCACGAAGACTTGCGTCCCGCTTCGACAATATGTGTTCCGTAAGTATTCAACAGGCTGCCAGTGTCGAGCCAGGGGAGTGTCCCGTATGCTTGGTTGCCTTTCTACTGGAGGTTCAACCCAAAGAGCCTCTGCAAAGGAATCATACGTTGAGTGTGGCTGCTCGTGTTTTCACTAAGTGTGTTAAATGGGCGGAGAGGCAAATTCTGGGTGGCCCCGCGCAGTGTAGAAACTCACCTTAATCTGTCCTATCCTTTATGCACTTTCCTAAGGCCCCAATGAGTCCACCGATTCTGTGGGTGAACACAGCGCAGGTCCGTTGATAATTTGGCTTGCTTTCTCATCGTAGTTACTATGTTGGCCATCCATCGCCACTGGCCAGCGCTTACCATGCGCCTATTTTGGGGAAGATAGCCTCCGAAAGCAGAACCACCATGATTGCATGCGTATTCACGCAGAAGACAGAAACACTATGTTCTGTGATTGCACATATATCCGTGACTACTTTGTGTTATAGTAGAACTGCAGGAGTGATGGAGCATGCGAGTACGTTCTCGGACGAGATCTACCCGAAGGTCGGCTTCCATAGAACTGCAGGAGTGATGGAGCATGCGAGTACGTTCACGGGCGAGATCTACACTTTGAACGAAGTACCGCTGCTCTCCTGTAGTGGGGCAGTACCGACTTGGAGCACTCCATCAGGGTGATCTTGTGTGTCTTGGGTCGTGTGAGCCGTCCATACGTGCCCGACATAAAGGGTGGCTGTGTTGCCCCCACTCAGTGGAACATGCGTAGAAGGGCTGGCTGGTTGTACGAGCTGGCTGTAGAGCCTCAGCGCAGAGTTTAGAGGTTAGCTCGTAGACAACACCTGGATGCCACTATGTAGGCCGATACAGAAGAAAAGCAGCCTGAGGCGTTATGATGCATGTATTCCCTCTCCAGAATGTTACTTTGGAGGAGGAATATATTCACCGATATCCTTTGTGCAATGTTTGATTATATACTCCACGTCCACGTTTCACGTCCATCCAGTTTTGATTCCCGTTGAATTTTCAGTGGGTGGCACGACGTCTGCCAAGAAGACAGGTGCAAGTCCTGATGCGCGCGCGTTCGCACGGTGGTTTCGGATTGCTTCAACCGGCGGGCTATTTGCAATGCACACGTAGCGTACGGACTTGGCTTCGCATGTGCCACCCTCAGACTACTACTACACAAACAATCTCTTACTCCAGCCTAGCCAGGCTCAAACTGCAGGTGGAGGCTATCAAACTCTGGTTTGCGGCCAATGCAAGAGGATGCATATTATGCGTCACGCATGCGAAGCCGAGGGTGGCATTCGCAATTCAGTGCACTCTGCGGAATAGTTTGCACTCGCATGCGAGTCCGCAGGAGGTAGGTTTGGGTGACATGACAAGGAGGAAGGTTTCCTGTACATGCATGAGGACAGAACGGTGTTAATACCAGCGCGTGCTGATAGTTTTGGAAGATGCTTGTTTCCGCAGCTGGGCACGTCAACGCGCTGCATCAGGACGAGCACTTAAGTGTGCGAAGGAAGGTATGCAATTGTGCCTTTCCCAAAGCGGTTGGATGCATTCATGGTGAAGACATTAGATGCTGCCGATTTTATTTGGCG